GGGTTACTACATGCATCATGACATGCTTGGAGAAAAGGGGGACTTTGTAACTTCACCTGAAATAAGCCAGATCTTTGGGGAGGTAATACATATAAATATTTTTAAAAGAAAATAGTGTTTCAAATACATTTTGAGAACCTGTGGTTGAGTGTGTTACTAATATCACTAACAGAACTATTCTGAACAAAAATAAACACACGTTAGAACAGGGGTGGCCAACATGCGGCACTGCTGGGTGGCATACTGTAGAGTGGGGAGGGGACAGGCAGCACAGAGGCAGATAGAGCAGGGAGTGGAAAGCAGAGCAGCAGCTTGGGCAGGGAGCAGAAAGCTAACAAGCAGATGGAGTAAGGGAAAGCACTGGAGCAGCACTTGGGGAAAATGCAGAGCGAATTTGTGGCATGCCGGCCAGGACGGTTGCTCCCACTGCTTTAGAATTCTAGGCGGAAAAGGGAGGTTGTAAAAGACACACAGAGCACAGCTCTTTGTGATGTTCCATGTAGTGTACATTGATCTTCTTAGTGTAAAAGTTGTTCCTTGTACAAGTAAAATCTGTCGGAACTTCCAAAGACTTGAAAAATTCAGCCTGGGATCTGAAGGCCAAGTCTGGGTTCTCTCATTATAGATCGTCACTAGTAATAAAGATTGTGTGCAGGTTAAATTGGTCTCTCTGGGACACTTGGGCAAATGTATTGTTAGCAGAGATGGCTGCTCAGGTGTAACTGAGCTTGCAACCCCCATTTGATACATACTTAACTATTCTTTTCAGGCACTAGTCAAGAAAAGAACACAACTCATTTTCAGGGATACATTGGTTCTTCAGGGCTGTCAATAGGTGACAAATACAAGTACAGAATCCTTAGACCAGTGATTCTCAAGCAGGATGCCATAGCACCCTGCGGTAACTTGAGATCCTTTCAAGGGTGCCGCAGGGTGCCACACAATGCATTCATAGGTTTGCAAACATGATTCACAAGATGACCCCAGAGATTTCAAATAGAAATCCATAGCTGGGGTCTTCTAGAGCTCTTTGCCACAGAAAAACTGCTCTATTATTTTTCTGTACTCAAAAAAGAGTGAAAACTAAGAACTGCCATTTTTCAAGGAGTGCCTCGAGTCCTAAAAAGGTTGAGAACCAGTGCCTTAGACAAAGCATGTTGGCTGAGTAAAATTTCCACAGCCAGGTTTCTGAGCAGAGTAATGCTTTAAGACTAGAAAACTATTAATTCTCAGAGAATATATTAAGACAGACTGATTTTACAGGTTGAAATGCAAGTATGTATCTCTACCCCTGAACATCATCAAGTTTTACAGTAAAATTATTCCTTGTGTTTTTCTCTTCAGTTAATAGGGATATGGTATGTTAGTGAATGGATGGCCATTGGCAAACCTAAAACTTTTCAACTTGTGGAACTGGGCCCAGGTAGAGGCACTCTTACAGGTGATATTTTACGGGTAGGTAAAAATAACGCATTCTTTAGGCTTGACTTGCCTATCTCAAGAGTACTCATAATGCATTGAAACCTGAAATCAGGAATGAAATTCCATTGCATCTGGTGAAGTTTTCATACCAACTGAATCCATTTTGATTACTAAAGTACAACTTAAATTTTACCTAGAATTTCTCTATGTACTCCTGTTATTTTGGTGGAGTTGGGGCTCATAATGAAAAGAAAATACTGAATGCCCCAAGCCTATTTTGCAGATCCATTTCTATTTTAAATACATCTTCACAGAAAGAGAGGGGGAGATTATCTTTGTAAAATAATCTATAGAAAAGCACTGTCTAAGAAAGCAAGTAGATGATGGGGATGTTGGTGATATGTAATTTATAGCTCACATTTGAGCCTCCCAAAACCGGACAGTGTTCCAAATACTGAGCATTGTGAACTCCTTTGACTCCACAGGGAATTTTGGAGGCTTATCTCCTTTCAGTACAAGACTTTCTGATCTACTGCCATTTCTCATTTATTCACTTATACATACTGTCTGGCTGGTAAAATTCAATTAGTCCTCAATAGAATACAGGAATCCAGTGAAAATATTACAGCTGCTACTTTTTCATTCATAAACAAGTCAAATGTAATAATGATTGCAAGTATGTGATTGTAGATGGCTCCTATGAACTCTGTTTTGAAAAACTTGGGTATTGCAGGTGAGCCATTGAACTCTGAAAGCTATGTTTATTGCAGAGCTCAGTGGAACTGCTCCCTTTATGCCAGGGTTCTGTTGTCATTCTTTAATAGCTATCATTCAGTTTCATTACCCTTTTTGTCTCTAGGATATATGGCACTGCATTTCTGTCCTCTAGTTCAGTGGTTTTCAAACCTCCAAAAATCACAAAACCCTTTTATATCACTTCTGCTGTGGAACCCCAGCCCATGGGTCTGGACCATCTGAGCTGACATAGAGCCAAGCGATACAACCCAGTAATGGCAGTGCACCGTCTCCTGGCTTGCTCCGCTATTACCCCCAGTCTCTTTGTAGAACCTCTGAAGACCTGTTGTGGAAACCCAAGGTTCTGCCAAACAGGCTGAAAACCACTGATCTAATTTCAAGACTTCTGTAGAGTCATAGGCCATCCCTTTGCTGCTGTTGCACTCTGTGCTAGGGTTCCTACTGACTTAAAGAGGAGCAAGATTTAATTACTGTAAATGAGCATGGTAGTTCTCTGAGAGGCAAAGGTTTTCTGTGATTTCTTTTATTGGACCAACTTGGGACAGATATTAGACCAACTTCTGGGCATAAAGTGCCCTTCCTCAGGTCACAAAAACCCTTTTGTAATATTGTAAAAGATATCACTCCTAAATGTCACAAAAAATCTCTTGCCCCTCATACATTTCCTGGACTACCGTATCCTGGCTTTCATGTCCTTACTCTTATGTTGGACCTTACTTTCTTTTATTTTCCTATCTGATTACACTGATCTCATATTTTGTCATAAGCCAGAAGAAAGAGGACATGAAATTTCCTTAGAGTAGTGCTTTTCAGCCCATGGGTCGCAATCCAAAAGTGGGTCGTAAGATTTCAGAGAGTTGCAAGCCAGATTGAGAAACGCTGATTCCGGGAAAGCACCAAGACTGCAGCAGGGCAGAGTGATGACAGGAAGTTGTCTGTCCCTTCCAGTGGGGGAAGGTGGCAGGGGAGAGCTGCAAGGCTGGGCTGGGTGCTCACAGGGGCGGAGTGGCTGGGAGACGCTGCTCAGGGGGTGGAAGGGGCTGTGACCAGGCTGCCTGGCACAGCACAGCAGCCCCAGCCCAGGGCAGGGGCTACCACAGGCCTCCCCTCCTCCTCCCTCCGGCCTGTGTCAGGGCAACTCTCGCTCCGCTGCCACCCATGAGCCACTGTGTTTTGGCCTAAGTGGGACAGGGCAGCTGGGGACCCCTCCAGCAGGGCTGGGAGGCAGGAGGGTGGGGGAGGGGGCTGTGGGTTGGGAGTGAGGGACAATGGTAGGTCTGATGGAGTGGGGGCTGTGGGTCAGGAGTGAGGGACACCAGCATGGGTGGGGGCAGCATATAAAGGCCTGCAGCATATAACTGCTTCTCACCAAATTCATCCTTTTTGTATTTACAGGTCTTTCACCAGCTTGGCTCTTTACACAATAAATGTAATGTTTCTATTCATCTGGTAGAAGTGAGCCCCAAATTAAGTGAGATCCAAGCACTGACCCTGACAGGGGAGAAAATACAACCAGAATCTGATGATACTTCCCCTGTCTACATGAAAGGTACTAGTAAGACTGGAATTCCAATTTTCTGGTACAGAACCCTTCAAGATGTGCCACAAGGTAGGTGGTTTGAATGGTCTGGTAATGATTGCTTCCTTCTCTTAATTCATGATCTTTATTTAAACCAGAGAGCTTCTTGGTAGAGTGGTTATAGGTGGAAACATAATTTTGCATAAAATGACTGCTACTTGTGAGTTTGGGCAGGATAGGGGGGCATAGTCTCTGAAATGGCTACTGCTTCAGGTTTCCCCATGCTTGGGATACCCAGCGTAAGACACTTTGTGAGCCTGTGCAGGTCCCATTGCCTTCAGTTGCACTTGTGGGTTTACGATACAGCAGACAATCAAGCTCATACAGTCCTGGGTTGGGAGTCCAAAAATATAAGTGCCTGAAATTAGGGACCAGTTGTGAAAATGTGGCTCTCTCAGTCTGGGCTTCTGTTGGGGAATAATGGTAATCGGCTATTTCACAGAGACACCGCCTGCCTTCATTTCTTAGAGTGGTTCTTGATTTCCAAATGGAACATGCTGTGGAAGTTTTATGTTGAAATATGAAGTAAACTTTTTCCATTTCCTTTTACAGGTAACAGCTTTTATTTAGCACATGAATTTTTTGATGCTCTACCAATACATAAATTCCAGGTACAGCTAGAAGCCCATTGAGAGTGGGACTTTTCTATTTAAAGGATGCTTAAACTATAGAATAAAAATCACTACAATGCTAGATTGGGGCTCATCTTTAACCATATCATTTAAATTTTAAAATACATTTCTCTAATACAGAGGTGTCAAAGATATGGCCCACAGAGCTCCTGGATAGGCTGGAAACGTAAGGGCATGGCCCACTGCTGAAAACAAGTATATGGAGCCAGATTGAAGACACATTTCAAAGGCAGGGGGGTATAAGCAATGGCTTCATTACAGGAGTGTACAAAATCTCGTCGTGTGTTTCATTTTGAAGCTGTTTCGACAGGTTTCAAGCTCGAAACAGCGAAATCAAAATGAAACAAAAGGCTTCAAAACGTAACAAGGACATTCGAAATGTTTTGAAGCCAGGCTTTCTTGGCTTCAGAGCCGGTCCCAGCTGGCAGCAGCCTTCTCTCCTGCACGCAGATCCGGGGGCCACTCCCCCCAGTAGGAGTCTGGCACAGCCCTGCTGGCCCCCAGATCTGCGCACAGGATGACAGCATGCTGCTATTCCCGGCTGGAGCCAGCAGCAGCAGTTTTCCTGGCACTTGGCATGGGCTGCACTCAGCACTGGTTCCAGGTGGCAGTGGGGTAGCCTCTCATCCTGTGTGCAGATTCAGCGGCCCATGCCCCCATAAGGAGTCCAGCACAGCTCCACAGCCTTCCCAGGGGTGCAGGACCATGGATGTCTGTTGCCTCTTGAGTCACCAGTCAGTGACCGGGATGGAGTCCCCCACAGCCAATCTCACTCGCTGGAACTCTCTCAGCCACTTTTGCTGGCAGCCCCACTCCCCAGCTGGCGCTCGCAGCAGGGGGCACTGCTGCTCCCCTCTGCCCACCAGCTAAATGGGGAATGCAGCCTGACAGGGGGTGCACATGCACCCCCTATATCAGTCGCCTCTGTGCGGGACCCCAGATCTGCACATGGGATGGCAGGAGGCTGCCACTGCCAGCAAGTGTCACAAGTTTTGCTTTGAACAGTTTGAGGTGCAGTTTCCCAGAAACTTCTGCACCTATCCCCTTGAGACTTGGCAGGCTTCATGCCCTCTGAAAAGGCTACCATCCCTGCAATTTTCATCCGAATCAGGCAAGCAATGACAAAGTTTTAGGCATTTTCATGATTCCTCATTATAGCCTATGGGCAAAACAGTTTTGACGAAACAAAATGGAACAGTGCTTCGAAACAAAACAAGACACTATCCCTTCGAAATGGTGCTGTTTTGCACAGCCCTAGCCCATGCTATCACCACTTACCCTGCTATTATAGAAACTCATTCCCATCAGGACAGCACCCTGTCCCTGCTCAAATTCACAGCCCCTCTAGGAACCCTGCATCCTGGGGTGAAACATAGAGCCTGTGGTCCAGATCTGGCTCTGCAAGGGAGAGTGGGAAGGGAGTGAGTTTGACAACACTGCTCTAAAGGATTTTGTGTGACTTAGTGTCCTCAATTTAACTGCTGTAAAATTAAGAGCGATAAAATATTAGCTGTATAGCAGAATGGTTCATTAATGGAAAACACTTTCTTCATCAGCAGAACTTAATAGGCTTTCAGTTCTGCACAGATAAAAAGTTTCATGTTATGATTTATATTGCAGTAATAAAAGATAGAAATAAATACTCTTTATTTCATTATTGAGTATTACATACCAATAATGTGACTGGTACAGTATGAAACAGAAAATGAGCAGTTCTAAAGAGACTTCATTTGTATTCATAACTGTAACAGTGAAGTAATGGTCTCCAGCCTCACAGAATAAATTTAAATTTCTTCTGAATGTTGAAACAGAAACTTTTCCTGTAACTTTAAAGCCCGAAGATTGGTTATACACAAATTGTGTGTACTACACACCACATACGATACTCGCCTTGTTTTTGAAAGGCAGAATGAAAAAGAAAAGATTTTTCCAGTTATGGCTGCATAGAGCAAGGACAGAGCCTAGTCTTCAGTTGACTCACCCTCCCTTTCCAGCTTAAGCAGTAGCTAAGGCTTCAACTTTAGTTGAAACTTATTTCCATAGGTGGATCTATGATTTTGAAAAGAAATACTGTCTCTGAGGCTGTGAAATAGGAGCAGACAGCCAAGTTGCCATAAGAAATGTTAGCTTGATTAGTGGAACATCAAGACCATTAAAAAGGAGGGGCAATTATTAATACTTCTAGAGTGAAGAACAAGGAACCATTAAGTTAACTGACTCCCTCAGCAGCCTGAATAATAATGCAAGAGCTGCTGCACTGTGGAGCGGGAATCTAGGCAGGGTGTTTCTTGCCCAGTCAGAAAGCCACCTTCCTCACTTAATACATACATCCCAATTTTGAGGCAAAAGGGGAGTATTGTACATGAGAAAAATACAGTAGTATTTAAATTATGCTAAAAAAAAGTATGCAGCTAGGTAACTTGTTAGAGCTCTCCATTTACAGAGGAGGGAGCTGAAGGCAGATTTTTTTTTCCATAAAGGCTTCTTTATTCAAACTTACTCCCTACATTGATTTACCTTAGCAGTTGATTCCACTAGACCAATTCCCCCAAGCCTTCGCTAACACTCATTCAGTTGCCTGAATGAATTGGTTAAGTTGGTAAATGGGGTGGTCTTTTCTAGGCATGGGCCTACTACTGTTTTTCCTTAAATATTTAAAAATATATACAAGCCTCTGTGGTTTGGTAAGCTATTTAGATCAAATTGGATAAACATGCTAATGAGTCTTCATAAGTTATAGCTTAGAATGTAAAATAGCTTTTATTTATCAGAGAACAGAAAAAGGCTGGCGTGAAGTGTTGATCGATATAGATCCAGAAGTTCCAGATAAGCTGCGGTTTGTTCTGGCACCAGCTGTCACCCCAGCTGCCAAATATTTTATACAGGTAAGATTCCAGCTACCTGAGCTAATATTCAAGCTACTGTCAAGCATCTAGTTATTTCTTTTTCCAGTTACTACTTTTTATCCATCCATTTCTCCCCCCAATCACAAGTTATTCAGTAGGGAACGTTTGATTTCATACTACATCATCAGGTGAGTGACTTATCATCATATACGCTGTGTGAGGCTTGTAGTTTCTGGAACAGTGTTAATCTCGGTATATTAGAAACAACAAGCAGTTACAATTTTGACATTTGGAGGAGAGCCAAGTCCTTAGACATTTCAATATTCCAAGTTAGAACAGATGAATGCCACTTTTCTTTACTAAATCATTGTCTAGTTTTTAAGTAGCAATTTAACTGAATACTGAATGAAGCCTTTGGTGACAGTGTTACGGTAATGCCATGACAGTTGGACCTGATGGAGGTGGTCTGCCTTCTGATTAGGAAGACAATTCTCTTCATGCCCCACTAGGGAATGGTGCATGAGCTTGTCCTCTGTTAGCATGACACACAATTATCTCATTAAAATGTTATATAAAAAGCCTTAGCCAAAACCAACTTGAGTATCTATGAAGACAGCCTAGAGCCCTGATTCTCAACAGGGTGCTGTAGGAATGGGGTGCCTCACAGCATTAGCCCTGTAAAAGAGAGAATCAAGGAAGGAAAAGGAAACAAATCCTAGCCTACAGCCTACTCTTCCCTGCAACTACAGATCTGTGGCTCAAGGATTAGACTCTTTATAAAGTCACCTCAAGACCCATGGTAGCGGTCATCCCTGAATTGAGGGATTGCTGATGATAAGCCATGTTAGGTATGCAAGTATAATTCACAAGATAAACCCAGAGATTGTTAGAAAACTCCTGATCTGCTGTGATCAGAGTTCTTTGCAACAGAGGAATTGCTTTACTTTCCTGTAGTAAAACAAGCTACTGAAAACTAGAGTTTGCATTTTCAGGAGTCTCTTGAGTCTAATGAGGTTGAGAGCCACTGGCCTGCAGTATGATGTACAAACCTAGTAAGACAAAGCAAATTACAAGGGAGGAAGTAAGAGTGAAAAACCTCTCGTTTCTCCAGTTACTTAGCATGCTTGTCAGTTTCTGTAGTTTAACCCTTGATCCTGCATTAGGATGAAGAACCAAGGGACCATGTGGAAGTATGTCCTGATGCTGGTGTCCTCATTCAGAAACTCGCTTGCCGCATTGAAAAGGACGGAGGAGCTGCATTGATTGCTGATTATGGTCATGATGGAACCAAGACTGACACTTTCAGGGTAAATTTGGTAGTTACCTTGCTCTTTTCTGGATCACACTATAGAAAATTGCTGTCATTAGTAGCAAAGGCCAACATTCTGAAAAAAGTGTATCCAAGCGAGATGCACCATAATGGCATTACTGTCAATACCATTAACAAACTACTGCAATCTAGACTACATTTGGGCAAAGAACTGCTTATTTGAAGGGTATAGAGAAATAGGGGCTTCTGCTGGCAGGGGAGGGATGCAGGAGATGGATCCTTTCCACCAGTAATTTAATTTTAAAGTTACATTTTGCCCCACATGAATCCTTTCCCAGTCGTTTATTCTTGGTCTTCTGTCACGTTTTGGTGACAGGGAGGGTAGTGGTTGAGGAGGTCTTCCTGTTATTTTTTCAGGGTTTCCGCAATCATAAGCTTCACGATGTTTTGATAGCACCAGGTACTGCAGACTTGACGGCAGATGTTGACTTCAGCTATCTCCGAAGCATGACCCAGGGAAGAGTAACCACCCTGGGGCCTATAGCACAACAAGAATTCTTAAAAAATATGGGCATTGATGTCCGGCTACAGGTATGGTTCTGTATCTGCACATAGACACTACTGCTGATCCATAGATGCCACTTCTGGTACCAGATTTTTTATTTAAAAACCTCTCATTTTAAATAGGCCAAGGCTATTGGTATTTCTGGGCCAATAAAAACCATTTCTGATTCCTTAAATAATTATCCATTAACTTATATTTGAAATGGTTCCACCATCCATGGTCTGTATTTTAAAAGTAATTTTATGCCAACACTTAATCCTCCATTCGACAGCGTGGCTCTCACCTTTCTACACTTGTATTATCCTACACAGTAAATGGAAACAGTGTATCTAAAATGAGAGAGAGAAGACAAATAGTTACCATATAGCAAACATTAATTGTTTTCCTTCCAGGTACTGTTGCAGAAATCACATGATGTGACAGTTCGTGAGCAGTTGATTCGTGGCTACCAGATGCTTACCGATCCCAAGCAAATGGGAGAGCGTTTTTTTTTTTTTGCACTGCTGCCTCATCATAGACTTAAAAGTTCTGACAAGCAAGTGAATCCAGGTCATGCAAAATCTCCTGTCCCTGCACCTATTGCTGGATTTAGTGAACTGCTGTGGCAATAAATCCAAAAGTTCCTATTCTTGATAAAATAGGAAAGTTTTCCATGCTAACCTATTAAAAGAATGACAGTAAAAAGTCTGTCTTATATATATACACACACACACACACACGCACACAGGATTAAGAAAATAACTATGGACTCTTCTTGCGAAAGTCACCGCCTTGCATAATTACAAATGCTGTTAAGATGTATCCACATTAGTCTGCCTTTGTGCTAATCTGTAAATGTGAAATCTCCCACTTTTCTGTCCTGCTTTCCCAGGCAGCTTCCTTGTTTATTACCTCAGGTGTACCAGTACTTCCATGATGACTGGAGCCCTAAGAAAACTTAAAGGGTCAGACACATGCCCCACCCCCACTTTCATAAGTATTTCCTGCCAGTCACAAGCAACTTTATTTTCAGCCCTGCTATTCACTGTTGTTACTGCGGCATCCTGTAGCTTAATCAGTTGGAAGGTAACTAGAGTGACCTGCCAGAAATGGAGCAAGTTTTACACACTAACAAACACACTATATATACCCACTGGACAAAAATGAAAATGGGTTTCAGTGGAGTTTTACTCTTCAGATTAAGTCTTGCTAGAAAGCTTGGAAAAGCACACTGTAAAATTAAAGGTTACTATTTCCTTTGGACAGTCCAGCAGCCAGCCATGTTTTTTGGCAGCAGGCCAGAATAGCCCAGCTCATGTCCAGAGCAAGCCAGCACTGGACCTAGCCACTGCTTCCCCATGCTGGCACATCTATGTGGAACACAGCACAGGTGAATACCCTGCCACCTGGTTGCAACATGGGCAACACCCCCTCTACAAACCACTCCTGAAGCTCCAGATCTACAGGCCAGGTCTAATGGCTCCATGGGCCAGATCCAGCCCATAGGCTGTAGACTGCCAACCTCTCTCCTACTGTACAGGTGAAAAATGAGTGGTTGTATACAACTACTTCTTTCTCTTCTGCTCCATGGAAGAAGCAAGCTGACAGTAGAGTCTGGGAACAGGAACAAGGAATCTCTTCCCATTCTTAATGCAGCTGCTCCAGATAGGGAAGCACAATTATGGCCTGAATTAAAGGGGAAATAGTGAAGTATCTTATAACAGGCTTCCTTTGTACATCTAATAAGTATTTTATGTTTTACCACTGCTTGTCACATGCTGGGTTGCATTCTCCCTTCAGTGTGCATTGTTATTGTTACAATGAACAGGAATTATGTACAACCTGCAATAAAGATAGGTAAAATGCATCTACTGCATACACTCTCTCACAGTTCTAAGCCAGATTCTGCACCACTGCAGTAAACAGGAGTTAAATCAAGCTTTAAGAGCTGTTATGTTAATGAAAGATTAGGCTCTTTAATAGACTTTAAACAAAAGAAGAAAAGATTTTACATCTTTCTCATGTAGCAGTATTGAGAATACACTAGTATTCTGGTACAGCTTCAGGACATTAAACAAAAAATATATATAGAATTAAAATAAGTGATCTCTTACAGCATTCAAAATTAAATAGTAGCATCTAGAACTGAGCAAAGCTTTAAAAAACAAGGCAATTAAATATAGCAATGGAATGTGTAAAATTCTTAAATTTGAACTATAGGATGTTCCTGAATTTCTACTGGTTTGGTAAAAGAATGAACTACAAGAAGAAACTGCTACAAGAGAATACTGGACTATAATCCAGAATTCAGCAATATGAAAGTGAAAATCCAAAACATTTCCCATTAGGGGATACTACAAAAACCTCACACACTTTACTATTAAATGGTAACATATTAAAAGTAGTTGTGAAATGTCCTCTGGATTCTAAATATAGGGGTCAGGAATTATCTTCCAAGTCACTGTTCATAAGATTTGTGCTAAAGAGCTGTTTGTTTTGTAGGTGCAGTAAACTAACCAGATTCCCACAGCTATGAATGGATCAACACAAGTACAGACACAAAAAGTTGTTTCAAAGGACATTTTAAAGCAAGGGAAGGAAGGAATTCATGCAAATGGAACAGGACAAATCTTATAGGGAAATAAATTTTATTTTCAAGCTTGTCAGAGGATATTTACAAACAATGGGAAGTATAAAAATATAAAAAGTACTTGACAGTGTCCTTTTGAGGCTATAAGTTTTACAAGAGCTTTTTTTCTAGCATCATAGCACTACTTGCATGAATGCAATGTATTTCATTGGCGGAAGATTTTTTTTTTTAAATGCATCTTACCGCCAGGAAAAAGTCACAGGATAAGAGAAAGGGGCATGAAAAACTGAGCAAATTTTACTAATAATTCCTTTTCTAATTTTTTTGGTTTTGGTAGGTTAACTTTCAACTCCATAATCTTATCTCCCAACCTCGTGAAATCTAAATTTTAAACAATTTGTACTTTAATATTAAGCCAATTCTCATTCTTTTAATTGAAACTGGGAATTCCGAGTGGCTCATTTTTGGAAAGCAGTACTTCACAGAGGGGAAACGAAGCATAGGCCTCTTACTCCATTAAAACCAGCCTCTCCTCCAAGCCTGCTTCAGTGCTCCCCTCCAGCCCCTGCCTTTAAATGCCACTGAAGGTCTTGAAATAATTTAACTCAACAACATCAAGTCAAAGTTTAGAAGCAGCCCAACCACATCTGAAGTGAAGCTAGGCTGAAGGAAGAATGGCATCTCTGAAATTTGTCACCTGAGAAATGGAGACAGCTAAAAAAGAAAACATTTCTCCTTTTTCCAAAAACTGGTCGCTAGCAGCCCAACAACTCTAGAAGCTATCATTCTAGTTCAAAAATTAAAATTATTCCTTCCTCTCAATGGAAAGACCAATCTGTAAAACTTCCCTGGATGGAGCTGCAAAGATAAAGAATACATTTTATCTCCCAGTGTAATTCCTCTACACTGGTTCAGC